ATTTGGGTTAGACTACATGGATCTTCTTTGTACTCCACTATATCCCCGGTCAACTCTAAAATTATATCACAAAGGTTCCTCTACATGTACTATGTGTAAAATTCTTTTGTGTTTATAAAGAAAGCATAAGAATGTGAACAAGTACTAAGACAAGCCATTGTTGGAATACCTGGGACAACTCTTATGTTACTATCTTCAGCTTACAGTTCAAACTATTGCAGCTGATGTTTCAGTAATAGGAAATTTACAATAGTGCAAAACTTTTTGGACTCTTACTTGGCACATTGTTATTTACTTATAGGGATATTGTCAACTAACTGATAGGGAACTGAAGATATTCTTAGTAGATTAGGAAAAATTATAGAGTTTGATTTAGATTAATTTTAATTATCTAGAATTTTATCAAAATACTAAAAATAACATAATGCAGTCTAAACAAACATAATTTAAATCCAAATGTTTTATTCTTATTCTACTAAGAATATCTTCGATACCAAGATAAAAACGAAGATAGAGTAATGGAAATTGCCAGTCATGCCCCTGTAGATCCCCATATGACCAAACAAGAAACAACCTTTAGAGCCACTAATATCACAGGATGGCTGGCGAGCACGGAGCAGTATTAGAGTCACCATATTTGACCGTACATCAGGTCCAGAAGTGCTTCTTGACTGGCTTGATTCCCTCGACTTTGATTGGCATGTTATGGTATGGCATGGACAACATCCATTGTATTCATTTTGTTATGAAACTAAGCACTATTTGCAATCAGCATTGCGTCACATTGAGCGTCTCTGTCAGAGTATTATCATTTCATGGGGACGAAATGAAACGAATGTTAAAATACCAATATATCTCCAACCAATTCATAAACTTTAGGTGGTAAGTCGACTGTTAGACAGTATTTGACCAATTTTGAGAAGCTGGCCTCTGGTTGTGAACTCTTTGAAGATCCTTGAATCACACTTCCCAAATTTATTAATGGATTGAACATTATAATCAAGCATGAGGTTAATTTATATCCACCTGAGCATATCGTCTGGCATTACACTTTGTAATGTACTTTTATCCTACGAGGCCTACAACAAATTTGTAACCCGATTCTCAACAATCTCGCCTTATCTTGTTCTCTCCGTCTAGTAATAAGTCTCGTTGTGCTAGATCAACTCAGCAAAAACTCCTACAAATACTATTAAGCATATCTTCATTCAGTGTATCCTTCTTTGTCCACCTCCTGTCTGAGCACCTAAGAATATTTCTGTTCAACGACTCAATATTGATACTCCATACCAGGAACAAGATAAGATTATTGTTGTTAAGTCAATCGATTATTCTGATGGTGAGGAAGAGAGTTCTTCATCCAGTAGTGAGCTTCTTATTGAGATATATCTTCACTACACACTACAACTTGAAATTACCTACTGGGTTGCTACCTTTACAAGACATTTCACATGGTACAGACTCAGTACCAAGATCTCTTATCCTTAACTATTCCAATTTCAGGTTGCATCCTACCTTTAGCATGAATTATGTTACCCCAATGACTAAAAGCCATCATCAGTTGATAGTAATCCTAGACAATTTTCTCAAGTTGCCACATATTATAGATTGTTCTAAAACTACTTGTGCCTTTCATGGTTTAAAAAATTAGTTGAGGTGCACCTTAAATCGGGGCATTAATATAACCACGGAGGCTATATTTAAGGCTTTTTTGCAAGGTAGATGCAATTTGTTTTAATAATTTGTTTGACAATTTGTTGCAATTTTCAAGATTTAACAATGTGTACTAGCAAGGAGATCATTTTTTGCTTGATTTCAATCCACTTCCATTGACTTTTGAAATTGAAAAGCCGTGTTCTTCAACCTAGTACTTCCTGATAGTCATTAATTTGTTAAATCAAAACTAACAATCAACTTCACTATAAAAATGTACTGCAAAATAGAAAATCTAGATTCAGTTTGAAAGGTAATTCAAAGAAGAACAAGTTTAAAAGGAGTGCCCCAGTCTATTTAAGGACTACGGTGCATCTTTACAATCCCAATACAGTAATTTTTTTCAGCAACCAACCATAGTAGGCATCACAAACTGAAACCTACTTCCATGATCACATTCGCTCTTTTAGTAAGTTCTAACACAGCATTCGTTTTTCAATTTGTCAATTATACAAGTCATGTGGTACAATATGATTAAAACTTTAAGCATAACCAAAGGGCTTATAAACCAACATGTATCTACAGCTACCGACATCAAAGGAAAGTATAAACAATTAAGAAAATAAAGTAAGAATTGAGCTAAAGCAAATCCTCTATCGAGCATTGATTGTCACAACACAAATGGATTGTACAGATTAAGTGGGATATAATGCCATAAAAAACCGAAAGAGAAAAAAATACAAAAACAAAAAAGAACTCCAGGTTCAAGGACAGACCACTATCTTTCAGCATTGTCGAAGTAGACCTCCCCTGGCCTTCCTTTCTGTATCACTAGTTAAGTACAACAAACTTTATAACATTATCATTCATTTCATCAATTTTCTAGGAAAAGCTTTATAGATATGCAATAAGTTGTGGAGAAACTACTCCAATCCTCCTGGTTGCATTAACAAAACATGCATTCTCCACTTTTTACTTCTTTAATATCTTATTTGGGTAAACTAATTTTAGAAACCCTCGTAGTCAATTTTTGGACTCCCATTTATTCCCATTGCCGATATTTGACATTATTAAGTTCCAGAACATATGACACTAAAGATATGTATTTATTATTAATGGTATCCATGCACTTAATCTCATTCAAATAATCTCATCCAGTGTTTCCAACAAATTTGATTGCTGCACTCCCTTCTGAAAGTTAATGATGTAAACAAGTGCAAATCAACCAGCTTCTTGTTTTACCATGAGCACATGACACAAATGAAATTCAATTTGTATGTCTCATTAACAAAGTTGATAGAGTTGAAATACCAGACTTGACTAAAATTGAGAACTTGTGATAAGAACAAGAATTATCCACTCAGAAACTTTAAATGGTAATCTAGTGGAGCTTCGCAAAGGCCCAAGGGTTATGGGCATAGCAAAGACCCCCGCTGAATACAAATTCATGAGGCCTTCGACTAAAAGAAAGTCCCATGGGTCAGTTGTTGGGAGTACCAGACATTTGACATGCAAGAACCATTCTGTCTGATTTTCAATTATGGTTGCGATGCAGAATTTTTATTGACGGCAGAAAGTAAAATTTATTAAGAAAGATGATCATCAGAACTAGCATAGTAGATGCCTGCTCCAAAAAAGGGTCATGAAAAACTGTAATGTCTTTTTTTTTTTAAGATTCCCATTCATTAAGCCCTTATTTGGTTTGGATTAAAATCTCAAGTTAAAATCAACAATTAATTTTAACCACACATTTCATGGAACCCACGACTTTTCAACCATACATTAAAATCTACTAAAAATTTGATTTCATTCTCCGACAAACATGGGCTAAATCTTATAAGAATAGTGGAAATCTAATTTTCTTGGGAAAACCGAAAGAATGTTTCAATATTCAATCATGTCATAAGAAAAACTTAGTGATAAGAAATTATGAATTAAATCTGCCCACGACTATTGCCTTGATTTTAGCATAGGTTAGCAATGTTTTTACTGATGCATCTCATTTTTTCTTTATTATCCTTCACATGTTGAATATGACAGAAAGAACCTTAGAAGTCTTGTTCCATTAAATGTATTAATTGGAAAATTAGTTATACAAATATTTGACAAAAAAGGAAATGATAATGCCAAAATAAAAGTTACAAAGTTGAATGTGTGCGTGAAAGTTCAACCAATTGTTAACACCATAAGTTTGAACACAAAATAAACAAGTATAATCCTCATTGCATGCTAAGACTAAATATTTCTAGGTAAAATGTCACATACAATCAATTATATTACTGAGCACAGATTTTATGACCTATCTCCTTGAAAGGTACCAATTCAATGCACTTTATTCACACCTTTCATCATGTTTCAAACAATCTCTTATGAAAAAGATGCGGGATCGAGGACACAGAACGACTAGAACACGTTAACCCAATCATCATCCGCACTAATCTCAAATTCCAATAATCCAACTAACATCATTACAGTGTATTTAATATTACACAAACATCGATCTTTCCAGGTGTTGTCACAGAATCAAATCACTTGCAAACTTTGGAAAACCACCTTGACCAGGCCCATCCCTTGAAAGCTACCAACTCGATGCACTTTATTCACACCCTTCAACGTGTTTCAGACAACCTTTTAGCGAAAAAAGATGCAAGATTCAGGACGCATTAGCCCAATTGTCATCTGTCGTAATCTTAAATTCCAATAATCCAACTGACAGCATTAATGTGTATTTAATATCACACAACCACCGATCTTTCAAGGCATTACAGAATCAAATCTGCTTTTAGGCTTTGGAAAACCACCTTAGCGGACTCAAACCAATGTAGAGAAAACCCATCTCACAAAATTCATCATATTCACTTGTTTACAAAACAATTTCAAACTACTTTACATTCTAATGAGCACTCAAGTTCACAATTACCTAAAGAATGCACATTGCAATTCGATACAGGTTAAATCAAACTCAGTGTAAACATTACCATCTCTCATATATTGGACAAAAAATCTCCAAACTATTCATTCTTTCATACAATGACTTCAATTTATGTCAAATTCGACCACAGGATTCAATTTCCTCATTCCTAAAGAATGCCCATCATGTCCGTATATGATATAAACCAACCTCACCAGCATTTCAGTCATGATTCTTGACCAGAGAGCTAAAATGCATATCAAATCAAACTATGTCTACAAAATGAGTAAATAATTAAGAGAAGAACAACACGATTATACTGAACTAAAGCTTTTGCTTTTAAGCGAAAGGATTGTACAGATGTATTGGGACACGAAGGCAATAAAAACTAAAAAACTTAATAACAGCTTCATCACATCTATATAAGAGAAGCTGCTTAAGGATCAAGGATCTCTAACCCATACAGGACTCCAGCAAACTTTGTTGGCAGCCCGTCCTTCCCGTCATTGCTGAAGTAGGCTTCCCTGACCTTTTCAAACACATGCCACGTCAGTAGGCTATCAGACCCAGCCTGGTGACACTTCCCAACAGCACGAACCACACCAAGTGACCGTGACACCCTGTCCAATCCCCCGTGAAGCCCCTGACAAAATTTGATTAAATGCTTCACATCATAGACCTTGGAACCAAAATAGACCCTAAGCATATTAAGAAACTCTGCCAGTGTCCCCGGAAGGGCCTGCCCAGTGAGAGCCTTGATGAGATATCCAAAGTCATACCCACTATGAAAGGTTATGTAAGTGACATTCTCGTTGCAAACGAGGCCAGAGGACATCATGAGCTCTGCAAAGCGAGTGGCGCATGCGCCTAACTTATGCGTGGCCTCAAAGTTGATGCCCTGGTGACGGAGAAGGTCAATGGAATTAGGTGCGTGATCATCACGTGCCAAGTCAAAATCACGAAAATTAAACTCCCAGATGTAGCGGCGGTCAGCATCTCCAAGGTCAGGGAGGTTCCCCGACGAGTCTGATAGAGTGATACCCACCTGGATGAGCTTGAGCACGTCAACATTCGACTTAAGTGTCTGGTAATGGTCCATGGGATCAGAGTACTGATGCTGGTGGCGGAAGATGACGCCAGGGAACTCGGTATCCATCGAAACATAAGGGAACCGATCAATGAGACGGCGAATGAGCGCGAACTCAAATTCCAGATTGCTGGACCAGACTGAACGAATCGCAATAGGTTTTCTGGGGTTTTCAAAACCCGACATCGCCTCCGGCAACCACCGCCGAAGAGGGGGAGTGGGTGAGCGAGGGAATAAGGGCAAGGATGGAGAGTCATCCACGAACAGGGTGGCGATGGCAGCGGCCATTGAAGGGATCCAGATCGAGGAATTGATAGTGACTGAAATTGGGGGGAAGGCTAGGGCTTTATAGGTGGGATGCTGTGTGATTTGCGTGTGAAAGTGACAAGGGAACCGTCGGGCTACAGCCTACGAAGCCCATGGTTTTTTAAATGACAATTTTGCCATTGGTTCTTTCTCAAATTTCATGTAATGCTCAAATTTTTAAGTTTATTTTCACTTTATACAAATTTAGCCCTTATTTGGCCCCATTAAATTTTTAAAAATTTGTTACCTTAATTTTAATCACGCGTTCTCCAAATAAAACAATATTACATATAAATCTAAATTTTTTTAATTATTTTTTAACCACGCACTTTTACAAAATTTATAAATTCTCCAAAATGGGGCACGAATAATGACTTAGAGTATGTTTGAGACACATTCTTTTTGAAAGAATGTATTATTGAATAGTAGATTGATAGAGAATGTGTAGTTAAAAATGAAAGAAAATTTATTAATGTGATGGAAAATATTATTTTATTGAAAAATGTGTGGTTGAAAATGAGTAGAAAAATGAGAATGAAAAAAATAATGTGTACCAAACAGAGCTTTAGATTGATTTCTTGAAATTAATCTTGAGTAGATTTTACAAATACTGAGTAGATTGAGTTTAATTTATTTAAAAGTCCTAATTTCTCTTCGATTTTAAATTTGTTTCTTTAATATTTTAATGATCTTCAAAGAATATAAGCTCATGTTTAAGCCACATTCTCATTTCAATTTTTATTTTTCAACTTATTTTCAACCACGTAATTTTCAATAAAATAATATTNTTTTCAACCACGCAATCTTCAATAAAATAATATTTTTTATCACATCAATAATTTTTCCTTCTTTTTCAATCACATATTCACCATTACACTGTCAAAAAAATACATTCTTTCTATTTTAATGTGCATCAAACACAACATAAAGAAGACATTATCACGAAATTTGCATTTTAATACGGCATTATTAAAAGTATTATAAGTTAAGATGCTTCTATCAAAGCAGCTGCCAGAAGAGGTCACAGAATAGAAGATGGATTGATTTCATTGTCGCCAAAAAAATTGTTTTTTTCAAGGACAAATCAATGCTTGACACCTCAACTTCAGTCATGCAATTTGTCAATCCCTTCTGTCAGTGTAGCAAAAACTCAAGTATTATTTGTAACAATTGAGAGATTGAGAAAATCGATGAATGCGACGATCTACTATTTTAAAAATTATGGCACCTAACAAGCAAAAAATTATATTTTGCTTTATTAGAGTTAAACGCATAATCAAGAAGTAGTATTACATGCAAATAAATAAGTGTACACCGATGTGTGTTGAATTAAATAGATTATTGTTATAGATGTAATCTAAAACGGTGAATTGATAATGAAGTATACATAGAATTCATTCATGTGACACTATCGACTGTATCCCTTTCTTTTTACAAAAAAACAGTTAGGTTTTTAAACAATTGGTAAGGAATTATACCCTCGCATATTATGTACATTTGTATAACACTAATAGTAAACATGTGTTGCACGTCTTATGTATCGGATTAATAATATCTGTAACATTTTTAAAGTACCAATGTTGTTTTTAAAAGTAGTTGAGGTAACTAATATTATTAAAGGAAAAATTAAAATTATTAAAAAGAAATTACATAAATAAAACTTTTAATGAAATTATGTAATTAATGTGAAAAATGTAGAATAAATTGAAATGTAATTTTTTATTACAATAACACTCATTTGTACAAAATATTTTTTTGTCAACATTCCACATCTTTTCTACTTTTATCAAGACTTTTCTTATTTGCATTGAAGAAAGTGCGACATATAGTTGCCCATAAAAGAATATATGTTGAGGAATATAGATTCCAATAGTATGCACTATTTGTCCTTAAACCTTGTTAATGGTCATTGAAAAACATAAACATATTGAGAATTGTTTCTTTTTGAATTTGAATGGATATCCTTCATCATTTGTTAGAGTTAATGGGAAGCTCGAAAGGCAACATGTTGTCCAATGGTTGTTTCTGCAAGGATAATGTCTCTTGAAATCAAGAAAAATCATTCTTATTCCATAGCAAAGACCGTTGAACAAGTCCAAATTTCTTAAGAGCATCACTGAACAATTTCTTTTCAAGATTACCTTATATGATGGGATACCATTTGACAACAATGTATTTAGAAATTCCTCTTGATAAAATTGGTTTGTATCATTTATTACTTTGTCGGGCTAGGAAGCCCTTGGTTTTTTAAATGACAATTTTGTCATTGGTTCTTTGCTCAAATTTCATGTAATATTCTAGTGTTTTTTTTTAAAAAAAAATTTTCTTCATACAAATTTAGATTGATTTCTTGAAATTAATCTTGAGTGGATTGAGTTTAATACATTAAAAAGTCCTAATTTGTCTTCGATTCTAGATTTGTCTCTTTATATATTTTAATGATCTTTAAAGAATATAAAGAAGACATTATGTCGCAATTTGCATTTTAATATGGTATTTTAAAAGAATTATTTGTAACATCGAGAGATTGAGAAAATTGACGAATGCGATGCGGTTTACTATTTTAAAAAGTATCGCATGTAACAATCGAAAAATTATATTTTACTTTATTAGAATAAAATGAATAATCCAGAAGTAGTATTACACACAAATCAATAAATGTATACCGATGTGCGTTGAAGTAAATAGATTATTGTTATTAATGTAATCTAAAAAGGTGAATTGATAATGAAGTATACATAGATCACATTCATGTGACACTATCAACTATATCCCTTTATTTTTTATTTTTTTTAACAAAAATTAGTTAGGTCATTAAACAATAAGTAAGAAGTTATACCCTTGCATATGATAAGCATTTGTATAATACTAGTAGTAAACACGTGCGTTGCATTTCTTATGTATCAAATTAATGATAAACGTAAATTTTTAAAATATTAATATTGTGTTTTGAAAGTAGTTGAAATAATCGATATTTTTAAAGGAAAAATAAAAATTATTAAAATAATATATATGAATTATTTATTTATTTTATGAAATTATGTATATAATGTGAAAAATGTTGAATAAATTGAAATATAATGTTTTGATTACAATAACACTTCATTATAGACCATATTTTTTTATCAACGACCCACAACTTTTCTTCTTTTTATTTTTTGCTTTTAAAAAGATTTTTGTTATTTGCATTGAAATTTCGCGAGAAAGTGTGGTATATAGTTTGCCCATGAGAGAATATATGTCCAGGAAGGTATATTCCAATAGTAGACACTATTTGTCCTTGAGCCTTGTTAATGATAATTGAAAAATATAAATATATTGAGAATTGTTTTTTCTTGAATTTGAATGGATATCCTTCATCTTTTGTTGGAGTTCATGGGATGCGCGAAAGGAGAACTTGTTTTCCAACTTCTTGTTATTTCTGCAAGTATAATATGTCTCTTGAAATCAAGATAAATCATTCTTGTTCCATTACAAAGACCGTTGAATGAGTCCAAATTCCTTAAGAGCATCAATGGACAATTTCTTTTTAAGATTAACTTATGTGGTGGGATACCATTTGATAATGATGTAGTTAGGAACTCCCCTTGGTGTATCATTTATTACTTCATTAAAGTTGACAAATTCTTCACTTTCTTCAAGAAATAACCCAATTAGTTTGTCATCGAGGTAGTTAACATACTCATTTTTTTGTTAAAAGAATTCCACATTATGTCATATAATTAGAAAAAGCTACATTTTCTGCTGTACTGATTAAGTGAACTCTGAAGTTCTAGTATCATCACATGCTATAACTATCTCATTTGAAAAGTTGACGAAGTCATCATCTATGTAATGTTATGTTTTATTATCGATTTGGATAAAGTATTATGTAAATCGATTGTCATTTTGAGCACACATATCTTGATTTAGTTCCAATGAATAATGGCCGGTGGTGTTTGGTGAGTGACATGACGTGGTGCTCTTTGGTGAAGAGAGAGGTGGTAGCACTTTGCGGTGAGCAATGGTGGGTAATTTTGGTTGGGGTGGGATATGGTGGAGGTTTGGATGAAATCCATTCATTTGTCTTCCCAGTTGCACACAGTTGAAAGGTTTGGGGATGCACTGGTGTAAAAAAAAAGTTAGGGTAAAAACTACAATGATTTAAGAGGTTTGGGGGTACAAGTGCAATTTTTACTAAAAATAATTGGTAAGAACTTAAAACTAAAAGCTAGTTCTAGATTACATTCCCTTGACAATTTAAGAAATAAAAACACACAATTTCCTTGATAGTTATCTTGATTTATTATATGAAAACAGTTTTTAGGGAAAAATACATAGTGAGAGTGAGAGAGAAGACGGTGGGTGTGGGAAAAGTAAGTATAAGAATGAAAATGGAGACGTAATATGTAATAAATTTTTTGGTGATATTCGTTGCATTCAAGTATGTCTTTTCATCTAACCTTTTGATGTTAAGGAGAAATTCCAATTGATAAAATAAATGAATGTAATTATGAAGATTGCTTTTATATATATTATAATGCTATTAGTACAAAATAAAGTTAAATTTAGAAGATTTACTAAAGACATTGTTGACAAATGACCAAAAAAAGTAAGGGAAAAATTGAAAACTAATGTTTTGTTAAGAGCGTATTGTGTGATTGTATATTGGCCTTATTGATTGCAAATACTATTTTTTTCACCTCCACTCAGTTTTATCGGAGCAAAGGTAATTGTTTAAATGTATATGAAAAAGTTAAAAATCTAAATTTCGAATCGAATAAACTTGGACAAAATGACCCCTGTATCGAAAGAATTATCTACAATCAAAATTCTACAAATGTAAAATATTGACGATTGAGCATTTTCTAGCCCCTTTATAGTGTATTGTTGAAACCAGAAAAATAATAAAATCTAAAAGTTGACTTATAATTTGTAGAAAATATGCAGAAATAGAGCTAGGAAAAAAATTAAATCTTGTACTTCTATTTAATTTTCAGGATATGTTTTGAATATATTATGGAAAATAAAAACACTTGTCAACTTAATGTACTTTGGAAATGATCAGTTTTCTCATGAAAGGAAAATGAAAATAGTGATTCCAAATTCAATAATAATATTGCATAGTGGCAAGTGCGTTTTTACATACTTATTTTACTGTCAAAATATGAGCAATTATTGATTAATATGATGAAATATAGNAACATGGGCAATTGTTGATTAATATATTGAAAGATAGTTTAATTCTATGCAATTCATGTTTTGTAATACAAAGTGATGAATGCAGCGAAATTGAGGAGAAACAAGTGAAAAATATCCAAATTGGGGAAAGTGAAAGTTCAGGGATTAAAGAGCAAATACTATAAACTTGTTTCCAACCTGATGAAGATTCGAGAGCGTTAGAGGTCAATTGGATGAAGAAATGAGTCAAAAGGATGAAATATAGCCAAAACATGATCACAAATCAACTTTCAAGTTGAAAAGTTTTGCACCGATTTTTAACCTCATATTGAGACCAATTTTTGACATGGAAAACGATCGAATTTGAAGATGATAATTGAATCAAAGTTGTAGCCCATTGAGTTAGCTTTCCAACGTATCTTGAATCATCTCAATCGGACATTAGGAGATAAAGTTATGACAAAAAATACTACAATGTGCGCCTGATCCGAACGGGCCCAGA